AAAAGGGTTAAGGCCATCTATCGTCCCTCTACTATCCAAAATAGTTCATTCTAAACCTTCTACTATGAATTGGCTTCATGTCGTCCCTCTACAATGTAAAAGCATTCACTTGTCGTCCCTCTACAATGTAAAAGCATGCACTTGTCGTCCCTCCGTCCAATTAAACACCCAATCCTGTTTATTGACCGTTAAGTGCAAACGGTCACACTCGGTTAGGCCCTTTTTTATTATTTTTTTTTTGCCACCTTGCTTTGTGGGTCCCACCCTCGCCACATCATCTCTCGCCACATCATCTTGCGCAGTGTCTAAGAAATCCCCAAATCACTAAACCGAAACAAATCCCTAAATATTTTCCCCAATTTCTTTCTTCCCTTCCCTTCGAAACCCATTCGAATCCCTTCCCTTCAAAACCCATCCAAATCCCTAAATCAAAATTCTGGAAGAAAGGAAGAAATCTGGGTTTCTTCCTTTCTTTTGAAACCCAGATTAGAAATCCCCAATCTTTTCCCCAATTTCTTTCTTCCCTTCGAAACCCATTTGAATCCCTAAATCAAAATTCCAAAAATCAGAAATCTAGGTTTCTTTCTTTCTTTCGAAACCCATTTTGCCTAAATCGCAGCTCAAGGGTATTGGTTTTGTCATACTCTATTTTGTTTTTTCTTTTACTCGAGTTACCGGCTTTCCTTTCGAGCAGACTAAGAAGAAGCCAACAGAGTGGTAGCAGCTACGACTTCTTCCTTCTGTTCTGGGGTTACTTCCAAGTCCAATAGCAACAAATTCTGTATCAGCAAGCCATATTCAAGAAGTTTGGGTGCTGACAATGTCTACAGCCAGTGAGGGTTTCGGTTCCGCTTCTACGCCACAATCACAATCACGCTTTAATTGTCAGCAAATTGGATTTTGCTACTGTAATCTTCCACCGGTAAGGAAAACTTCATTAACCCGTTTTAACTATGGGCGAAGGTTTTGGGGTTGCTCCAAATATCCAGTTAAGTGTATGATTTTTTCTGTGTTGATTATCCCATTTTAACCCGTATTATTTCTTAATATGGTATGATTCTGGTGAGTGTATGATATTTTTCTGGTTGCTTTATGATTTTTGCAGAAAGATGATGCTAAAATAGTTCAGTGGTATGAGCAACATCCGGATGAGGAAAAACCATGGTGTGATTTTTTTGTTTGGTTTGATGGTGAATTTGACCCTCAGGCAAAGGCATGGTTAACACGCTGTTGGGAGAAGCAGCAAAAAATGTTAGAGAAAGAGAAAACATTGATGACTGAGGTTCTTGAGGTGAAAAAGGAGAATCTGGATTTGCATAGGGAACTCCATGTGCTGAAGGATTCATATTCTGAACTGGAAAAAAGGGTTGCTACTTTTGAGAGGAGGTCGTTGGAAGTAAATGTTAGGTGTTTGAACTTTAGGAATTGTTTAGCTTTTTGTATATGTCTTATTGTCTATTGGTTCTTTTTTTTGGTGTAAACATTTGGCATTAGGTAGACTGCTGGAAGTATTGATGTACTGATGCTGTTGTCAAAGTAACCAATGTATTTTGCAATTTAAATGAAATGGCAAAGCTTTCTGGACAATTCCTGTTTCTTCTGTAGCTATATCATAAACTGATATATTGCCATTGCATAAATTGAAAATGAATTGGCAAAGCTTTTCTACATTTGCAGGAAAATAATTTGCACTGTTATATTGCTATTACATAAACTGGAAATGAATGGCAAAACTTTTCTATAGTTGCAGGAAAATAATTTGCACAGAACAAACATTTAACCATATATCATAAACTGATATATTGATATTATATAAACAGGAATGAAGTTTCCCATGACATACAGAGTCTGTCAAAAAAAAAAAAAAGCCAAGTTTCTGCCTTGATACATACTACCTGCCTATGATTAAGTTCCAAAAAAATCCAGAAATATGGCTTGACTGGTACTTTTGTAACTAGTTATAACAACCAAAATACACCCTAAAATACTTTAAGGACAATTATTTCCATCATCAGTAGAACCCATAGCTTGAATTATAGCACTCCAATTTGCCAACTCCATTTCATCCAATCTGCGTTGCTCCATTGCCCTGAGTCTTGCAAACCTCTGTGCCTACCAACAAGTATGGTCCAAAATAAAAAATCCTATGCCATGAATAAGATTAAATAGATGAAATTTTGATATTATCAACTAATTAAATTACCTCTAATTGTTGATATGTAACAGTCTCTCTCTGTTTTGATCCTTGTTGCTGCCTAGAGGAGGAAGACTCATTTCCATATTGTAGTTGGGGTTGGGGTTGAGAGTTCCTCATTGCCTTTTGGATCATAACACTTTCAACATTGAAGAACTCATGCAAATTTGAAGCAGAGGCATGAGTAGTGGCATGAACAGGGGCATGAACAGTGTCGTGAGCAGGGGCATGAACAGTTGCGTGAACAGTAGACTCCACAGAAGCCTTTGCAGAAACTTTTGATTTTTTCCTTGGGACTGAGAGGATTCTTCTACTTTTCTGTCCAGGCTAATGAAATAGAAAAAAGAGCACAAAAATGAAAATACATAGAAATGAAAAGACTTAGTACCACATCAAAGAAATATAACAAAAAAATGAATTAATTTGTAACAAGATTAAAAGCTTACATCTATAATACACAATCCAGTCTCTACATTGAAATAGGTCCCATATCCTTCAAATGTGGTCCTTTTCTTACGACTTTCTTTCACCTAAAATTAAATTATCGGTATTAAAGTAGCAATATAAATACAGAAAATGAAAACTTATGTTATGATGAACATAATTTAAAATGAGAAATCACCTTTTTGGTGGTTTGGACGACTTTCCCCTTGCCATGGACAGCTTTCCCCTTACCATGCACATGCACTTGATGACCATGACTTGTACCTTCATTGACTTCAATATTAATTGTGCCACTCCTAGATTCAACAATTGGTTGTTTAATTATGGGTTTTGCCTTTCTTTTGTGTTGACATTTTCGTCTGAACTCTTGTGGTAGCTCAGGTGGACACTGGACAGAATTGTTGGCATCTTTTTTCCTTCCTTTTTTGGCTTGTTGAATTCCCATTAAATTTGAACTGAGATTACCAGTTTGATCTTGCACATCAGCAGCAAGTAGCTGATTTTCTGGTTGAACATCAGCAGCAAGTAGCTGATTTTCTGCATGAAGTTGCGATTGACCATTAGCAGCAAGTAGTTCCTTTTCTAGTTGCATTTCCAGTTGAACACCTCCAGCAACTTGTTGAAGTTGCATTTCAACACCTCCACCAACTCTTGCTTGAGTGGAGGATGAGTCTTCAACCTGTTCTTGAAATGAAACAACTCAACTTTAGTTATCTAAAACTGTTAGGAAACAAATAATCTTAAGCAAATTTATATCATCTAAATGACATTACACTTACATTTTTTGGCTTTTTGGATGGACAAGTTCTGGAATTGTGGCCTTGTTTGAAGCATACTCGACAAGTCATGATCCTACCTTTTCTACTAATGTTAGATCCATTAGAAATTTCCCAATCTTCAGGATGCCTTTTCTTTTTAGGTCTGCCCGTCGTCTTCCTTTCCAATGGTGGATCAAGTGGAGGCATGCCGGTTTCTTCCCATCTTTCCATGCCATCTAGAGGAATTATGCAATGCTTGTATGTGTTAATGTATGCTTGTCTTTTGTAGCAAGGGTGCACATAGTCTTCAAAGTTTTCCTCTCTATGTTGGATGGCAAGCATGGCATGTCTACAAGGAATGCCATTAAGTTGCCATACCCTACAAGTGCATGTATGGTCACGAACATTAACCACAAATGAGTCATTTCTTTCTTTGATCTCATATTCCACAAGGGCTCTAGATAACATATAGCACCTAGACATTGCAGCCCTATGCTCCTCAATCTTCTCCCAAATTTTTGGACCAAATTCTCCAACAAAACTTTTGTGTACAAAGGCCTGTTTTGCTATGATTCTTTTTGAGCACTTCCACCTTAAGTCCTCTAGCAAAGACATAGCAGCCTTTTGCCTTGCATCAAGAATAAATCCATTGAAGGTCTCATTCATATTGTTATCAACAGCATCACATTTGCAATGAGTATCAAGGAATGCCTTGCACCAGTACTTTGGATCATATTGCATGAGGTACTCTTTTGCTGCAGGGTTCAATTTATTAATTTCTTCCATATTTCTCCTGAATTCTGCAACAGTAGTTGATTTAGCAGTTATCCAGAACCACTTTTGTAACTGCTTACCCTTGTACTGCTTCCTAAAATTTGCATATATATGCCTAGCACATCTCCTATGTGCAGCTCTAGGGAATAAGCTTTGGATTGCATTAATTAGACCCTATTTCCAAATTAAAAAACAAGAAATAAATTTTCTGTGGAACAAAAAATTATAGAAAAAATAAAATTGATGGAAAAACAAAATAGACTCACATACTTTTTGCTGATCAGACAAAAATGTGAAGTTTTCTCCATCACCTATCATCAAGTCAGCCCCCAAAAGTTTTAGGAACCATGTCCAGTTGTCTGTTCTTTCACATTCTACTATAGCCCAAGCTACTGGATACATTTGGTTATTAGGATCTCTAGCTACTGCTGATAGTAATTGTCCCTTGGTTGGACCTTTGAGGAAAGCTCCATCAAGACCAATAATAGGTCTGCACCCAGTTAAAAAACCTTCTCTCAAAGCAGCAAAACATACATAAAACCTTATGAAAATAGGATTCGAATCAGGTGTAGGCCTTTCCGCATAAATCTCAACTGTGCTTGTTGGATTTCTTGTCAATATTTCTCGTCTATAATCAAACAACTTACTATATTCCTTCTTGCAATCACCTTGAAACTGCTTAATAATGAGCTGCTTTGCTCTCCGAGCTTGACTAATAGTAATCTCAAGATGCAGTTCTTCATGCATACCTTGCTGGATGTTGGGATGAGAAAGAGTCAATGCAGAATAACTCCTGGTTTTAATAAAATGCCTAGCCACTGTTGTAGCTTTAACTCTCTTGTTTCTCCAACTAAAACCGCAAGTATGCTCATCCTTATATGTTTTTATCATCCAACTCCTCGTTCTAGAATCTACTGACAATAAAAGAGTCCAATCACACCTTTTATCGACACATGCAACCCGAACCCTCCTTCTATCATTTTTTATCAAAACAGTTTCTCTTCTTGTGTAAATTGATAGTGCAAGAACAGCATCCTTAAATTGTCGGGTGCTTGCAAAAATCATACCAATTTCAAATTCTGGAATGAGGAAAGTGTCATCAAAGATCTTGTGTTGTGACCTCCTCCTTCTAGCTTCATCAGCCTCACTATCATCACTGGTAGTGACAAAGCTAACATTGTCATCTGAATCAATGGAATCACTATGTCCTTCAGCAACATCTTGTGTTGGGTCAAATAACAACAATGCTGTTTCTTCTTCCCCTTCAAACCTACCACCAGATTGAGACCTTAACAGCCTATTTTGTTTCCTTGCCTCTTGCCATTCTTCATCCTCGTTATCAGTTAGCCACGGAACATCTATGAACTCATCACCACTAAGTTCTGCCTCCTGCACTGTTCGGTTTGAGCTTGCTGTTGCAGTATTGGTTTGTTCTCTTACAGTAGTAATGGCTTGTTCTCTTGATATGAGGCTATCTTGAGTGAGACAACCAAGGACTTCATCATTTAAAAAAGGCTCTGATCTATGCAAATTTACAACATAACCTCCCACCACCTCAGAAGCCCCCACAACAACATTTACTGAAGATGCCCCACTACCATTGTGGGGCCCAAATTTGCCTAATTGTTTTAATACATCTGCCTCATGTTCCACATAGACATCCATATATCCATGTTCAAAAAGTAGTTGGAACATGTCATGAACCGATTCATCAGACACTATTAAAACAAGTCCATTTTCAAGTTTCTTCCTTGGGTGCTTATACCAAACAAAATCACTCATTCCATCAATGTCAATATTTAAGCTTTGTAGTTTAGCTCTAAATCCAGCAACATCTATGTTACCATAGTCAAACCACATACTCTGAAAGGTACCTCCAGCATACCTCAAATATGGATCTTTAACAAATTTGCCCCTGATGTGTAGATACATTCCTACTTGCATGGTTCCCATTACAAAAAATGCCTAAAGAATCAACACAAATTATCAGAAAATTGAGTCAACTAACCCCAATTAAAAACCTAAACTAAGATTATTTTACTAATCTCCACAAATCCTTCATTAAATTAATTAACCACAAACATAAAAAACTCCATTTTTATTGTATACCTCTGAAGCCGTTCTCTGCTTTGCTGCTGTTGATCTAGCCTTTTCGTCCCTTTTCCTTTTCCTTGTGCAGAGATTCTAAAACTCAAATCTCAAGTGACTGTAAAAGTTAAAAATTGTACTAAAGATATATAAACTTGAGAATTTTTGGAGGCAAAATAAATAGAAAATGGGGTTGAATTCCCGCCCACCTGCAGGATCCATGTTGGGGAGGCAGCGGGAAGTCTCGGCAAAGGCAAAAAAAATTTGTGAGAGATGAGGTGGGACCCACAAAGCAAGGTGGCAAAAAAAAAAATAATAAAAAAGGGCCTAACCGAGTGTGACCGTTTGCACTTAACGGTCAATAAACAGGATTGGGTGTTTAATTGGACGGAGGGACGACAAGTGCATGCTTTTACATTGTAGAGGGACGACAAGTGAATGCTTTTACATTGTAGAGGGACGACATGAAGCCAATTCATAGTAGAAGGTTTAGAATGAACTATTTTGGATAGTAGAGGGACGATAGATGGCCTTAACCCG